TTTATATTACCCTTCTGTGGTCTTTGATGGAGTGGAAGACAGATAGTTATAATTATAGTTTTCCTTAGTTAGGATTAAAGATAAGTTACATATAAGACGTTAGACTCACAAAGATAGAATAGATGATATTTTCTTTAAATCTTGCTAAATGTTAATGGACTAAATATTGTATTTGTAGTTCTTAATAACTGCCCTGTTATATATTTTACTGTGTTAAAGATAAAACCTTTCTTTTTATTTAGACAGACAAGAGGAGATGATGGAGGAAGTCCTTCTGTGTATATGTAAATAAAGCACTGTTGGCCAATAGGGAAGCAAGATAGGTGGGACTAAGAGTCTAGGAGGATTCTGGGAAATGTAGTGAAGAGAGTCATCACGAGGTGATCCCTGGAGGAGAGAACGCAAGTCTGGCGTTCTCAGAAAGATAAGTCCTGCCGGGCCTTGGTGGCGCACGCCTTTAATCCCAGCACTCGGGAGGCAGAGGCAGGCGGATCTCTGTAAATTCAAGACCAGCCTGGACTACCAAGTGAGTTCCAGGACAGCATCCAAAGCCACAGAGAAACCCTGTTTCAAAAAAAAAAAACCAAAATAAAAAAAAAGAAAGATAAGTCCTTATAAAAATATATATTGGGGATTATGGGTCAGAGCTAGCCAATTAGAAACCATAGCAAATGGCCAACAGTTTCATAGTTAATACAGTGTCTTGTGTGTTATTTGGGGGCTAACGTGGCAACGGGACCCAGGCGGGAATCTCACACAAGTGGGGAATAGAAAGGTGGTTTACACCTTGAATCCCAGCACTGGGGAGGCAGAGGCAGAGGAATCCCCCGAGTTTGAGGCCAGCCTGGTCTACAAAGCGAGTTCCAGGACAGCCTCCAAAGCCACAGAGAAACCCTGTCTGGAAAACAAAACAAAAAAATCCAGATTAAAGGTATGTATTCTTTGACTTTATATTAAGCAAAAATCCCTTACAGATGTGCCCTACATTTTTGGGATCTAGTTAATTCCAGTTGTAGTCAAGTTGACAACTGAGAATGCTGTGTGTGTGTGTGTGTGTGTGTGCATCTAGATACATATGTATATATGGATATTTACATGTGTGTGTGGTATTGTTTGCACGACTAGGTATGTGTAGGTATCAATATATACACATGTGTATGATCATTTGGTGTATGGATACATGTGTGGTTAATTACAAGTATATTTGTTCACATATATTGTGTCACTGAATGTCCATGTGTGCAGGTGTGTGTGTCCATGTAAGTGTGTGAGGCTTGAGCTGGAAACTGAGGACCAGGCCAGAGTGGGTACGGAAAGAGGCTAGGACAGGATGAAGGAGTATCCTAATTTGCTTTCTGTCTATTGCTGTAATCCGACCCAAATCAAATTGGGGATGGGGAGTTTACTTGGCTTACAGGTTGCCGTTCATCCCCGAGGGAAGCCTGGGCAGGAGCTCAAGGCCAGGATTGAAACGGAGATGTGGAGGGAGCTGCTTACTGGCTTGCTTCCCCTGGCTTACTCAGCTACCTTTCATGTATAACCAGGCCCACCTGCCTAGGAACGGTACCGTCCACAGTGGGCTGAGCCCTCCAACACCAGCCAGCAACCAAACGCACACGTCCAAGACAGGATCGCAGGACAGCCTGGTAGCGGCAATTCGGCAGCAGCTGTGGTTCCCTCTTGCTAGGTGTGTCAAGGCGACAGCTGGAGACCAGGGGAGAAGACTGGGAAGCAGTGGGTGAGGTGTGGGCCCGCTGAGGACTGCCTGAGGAACAAAGGAAAATGGGAAATCCAGTGCAGAGCAGTTCCAGCGGGGCAGCGGGAAGGGCACTGCTGAGCCAGGGGAGTGGCTGTGAGGGCGATTCTGAGGGCAGCATGGGGACAGCAAGTCCTCCCTTCTGCTATCACACAAGAGAAAGGACGGAAAGCTGTGCCCAGGCTTCCAGAGAACAGTCTAGAACTATGCTGTCTTGATTCAGCAAGGACCCTAATGAAGGCATTTTGAGTCAACCTCAGGGAGATTTGCTAGACAAGGAACAGGAGTTTAGGAAGGGGGTCAGCCCAGGAGCATCAAGTCCTACCTGAAGGGGCCCTGGAGACTGAACAAATGTCCCCTCTCTAGAGCTGGGATGAATGGGTGGGCAGACGGATACCCACACAGAGACCCGAACAAAGCCTGGTGACTCCTGAGGACAGGGAACTCCAGGGCCAGGAGGGAGGCACCTATGTCATCCCTTTCCAGTGCTGGCTTGCCAGTCAGGTCCTAAGCCTTCTGTGCCCCACAGAGATGCGCTGGACCAGAAGAAGGTGCAAGAGCCGAGGGCGACACCATGTGGTGAGTTCTGTGCATTACAGTCAAGGCAGATTATTATTATTATTATTTTTTTTTTTTTTTTTTGGTTTTTACGAGACAGGGTTTCTCTGTATTGTTTAGGAGGTTGTCGGTCCAGCCTGGCCTCGAACTCACAGAGATCCACCTGCCTCTGCCTCCCGAGTGCTGGGATTAAAGGCGTGCGCCACCAACGCCCGGCAAGGCAGATTATTTCTAAGTCTTGTGTATGTATATGCCTACCTTGTGTGTGTTTCATTCTCCTCCCCGTTTGTCCTCTTCACTCCCCTCCTTTCTCCTTCTCATTTTTCTTTCTCCTCTGCCCTTCTCCTTCCCATCTCTAACCTCTTCTCTCTCCCTTCCTGTAGCCTCCTCCTCTTCCTCCCCAACCTCCTCCTCCTCCCCCTCCTCCTCCCCTCCTCTTCCTCCCCCTCCTTCATGCTACCCCCAAAGTTCCGTTTTGCCACCATTTGAATCCATTTTGGGGCCAGAGGGTGACGGTTCCTGAATGGATCCGCAGCCACCATCATCCGTCCAGCACCAGCCACGCCGCAGACTAGCACGTGACTTACTCGTAGGAGCAGAAAACTCAGTGCGGTGGTGCATGCCCTTAATCCCAGCACTCAGATGGTGGAGGCAGGAGGATCACTGTGAGTGAGTTCCAGGACCCTCAGGGCTATGTAGAGAGACCCTGCCTCAAAAACAAAAAAAATTTAAAATAAATATAATAAAGGTGCCACCCTTTATGATGAACCAAGACTGTAGGGGAATATGGATGCTTAAAAAATCTTATTAGGGGCCTGATGCGGCGGTGCATACCTTTAGTCCCAGCACTCGGGAGGTGGGCAGAGACAGGCGGATCTATGTGAGTTCAAGGCCAGTCTGGTGTACAAAGTGAGTTCCAGGACAGCCAAGGCTACACAGAGAAACCCCGGCTCAAAAAGCAACAACAAAGAAAACTTATCAGGAAAATGAGGTCCAAGAGCTTGGGCTCAGGCACACCAACGAAAACCCATGAAAGGCTGTGACCCTCTCACCTGGAGCACACAGAGTGACGGCCACCAGCAGTGGTCCCACGCCTTGTCATGTGTGACACCCAGCATGCGTGTGTGAAGGACACTTACCCACCGAGTCATCTCTCCAGCCCAGAAGTCTTTCCTTCCACACAGGGAGAGATCTGGCTGACAGTTTCTCTGCCAAGTCAGTAATTTGGAGCTTACCATTAAGAGGTTGCCTTGAAGTCTCAGAAGAGCCTTTGGACCCGGGTTGAGACAGAAGAATTACGGGGCCTTTTGAAGTTGGACGAATGTGTTTTGCATTACGATACAACTACTACAAGCCTATGGGGGCCAGGCAGGGGAGCAGGGTGCTTTGAATACAAACGGCCCCCAGAGGCTCATGTTTGAGTATTTGGTCCCCAGTCGGTGGAACTGGCCTGGAAGGATTAGGAGGCGTGGTCTTGTTGGAAGAGGTGTGCCTGGGATGTGCTTTGAGGTTTCCAGGGCCCATTCCATCCTCAGTCCTTTCCTCTCTGCCTTGTGCTTTGGACCAGACCTAAGACGTAAGCCCTCGGGTGCCACTCCCGCGCCTGCCTGCCCGCCCGCCCCATGCTCCTCACCATGACAGCCATGGATGCGCCCTCTGAAACTGTTCTGCAAGCTGCCTTGGTCACAGCACTGTCACAGCAATGGACACGTAACTAGAACAGGACCTCGACTGAGAAAATGCCTCACCAGACTGGCCTGCAGTAAGTCTGTGGGACAGTTTCTCAATGAAGGATAAGGGAGCACCTAGCTCACGGGGGACAGTGCCACTGCGGGCAGGCGGTGCTGTGTGTACGAGAAAGCAGGCTGATGAGACCACGGGGAGCAAACACCCCTCTATGGCTTCTGCCCCAGCTCCTGTTACGGGTCCCCGCCCTACTTGAGTTCCTGTGGACTGTGATATGGAACTGTGAGCTGAAATACACCCTTTCTTCCCCAAGTTGCTCAGAGTTTTTTTATTACAGCAGTAGAAACCTATGACACCTGCAGACTTTAAAAAAATACACTTGTGCCAGGCATTGGTGGCGCACGCCTTTAGTCCCAGCACCCCGGAGGCAGAGGTAGGCGGATCTCTGTGAGTTCGAGGCCAGCCTGGTCTACAAAGTGAGTTCCAGGACAGCCTCCAAAAACAATACAGAGAAACCCTGTTTCGAAAAACCAAAAAAAAAAAAAAAATACGCTTGTGCCAGGCAGTGGTGGCGCACACCTTTAATCCCAGCACTCGGGAGGCAGAGGCAGGCGGATCTCTGTAAATTCAAGACCAGCCTGGACTACCAAGCGAGTTCCAGGACAGCCTCCAAAGCCACAGAGAAACCCTGTCTCGAAAAACCAAAAATAAATAAATAAACACACACACATCATATATGTACACGTGTGTGCGCGTGAGCATGCATGCACACTCAGGTACATGTGTGTGTACACATGTGGACGGTGGAGGTCAGAAGACAAACTCCCGTATTATTCCTTAGGGACTGGGCCCACCCCCTTCAAATCCAGCCCCTCTAAAGCACGCCCCGCCCCCTCCACTGACCAGTCACATTTGAGCAGAAATTAGCTGGCAGCTGAGAGCAGTTAGGACCCACTCCGCTCCCCAGGGTGTCCAAGACAGAAGCAGGCGACAGCAGGAGTCCTGTACCTCAGTCACAAGCTTTATTGTCCGAACATGGACTAGCCACACTTCCACAATTCCACTGGGGGGGAGGGGGATGGCCGAGCCACAGCAGGGCGGCCACACCAGGTAGGCTGAGGGGCCTTCAAAGGCCAGTGCTTGTGGGGAAATGGCTTCTTGCACACCTACCAGGTGCAAGCCCACTCCAGGGTGGGGCTCAGCCCCTTCCGGTCCCTACTGTGGGAGCCTTTGGCTGTTAGTTCCTAATCCGTGAGCTGCCCGATTGTGCTGACGAGAGCAATATTTGGCTCTGTAGTTAGGCCACTACGACATCAACTCTAGGCTCTAGGCTGCTGTTGTTAAAGGCGAGTGCTACCCAAAAGCCAACAGGAAGCAGAGAGGAGGGTGGAGAGGCTAATACAAGGCCTAAGGGCGAGAGTGTGGGCGCCACCTGCTGGTGTCTGGTTGTGCTCACAGAAGCAGCCTGGGCCATCCTTGTGACTTACCACACCTGTCACCCACGGTAGTCTCGCCCTGGGAAGTGGGAGCAGGGGCCTCCACGGGCTGCTGGGGTCTTTGGAGTGACATAGCAGGGGGTCCCCCAGAAATAAAGAGAACCAGCTTGACTCCTCTCTCCCCCAGCAAAACACCATAGGAACACTCTTAAAGAGTTCTGGACCTTTCTCGCCAGGCTCCACACCCCAAGCCAGGCCCGGCTCAAGGTCAAGACGGGAGAAGAATGGGCTTGCGTGCTCACCTAATACTGTAGCTGTCTGCACGACTTTTCCGGGCAGCAGGCGGGAGTATGCATACTAGCTTGCTGTTGAGGAAGGAGTCTGTCACCCCCAAACCTTTCCCGGCTAAAGAGGCCCAAGAGACCTTGTACCGATGCGTAAGAGGCTCATGCGTGGAGTCAAGAGTTCCCTCCCTGGTTTCTGAAGACTGAAGCCCTTTTCAGTGTGTGTGTGTCCAAGCAGGGGCCCTGCTCCACCCCTCAGCGGCCTGCAGGGCACCTGGGGACACCAGAAGGAAAGGGAGGGAGGCAAGTGCCCAGGTGCCCAGACAAGACTCAGAACAGCCTGCTATGTGGCCGAGAGAGGCCTAACTGGACCACTTCAGCCTCTGCAATCCCAGAAGCGGCTTGGGACAAGAGAGGTTCTCCAGGGCGAGTCCCAGCTGCACCCCGCTCTGGGGAAGGCCGTATCTGTGGGAGCCTCCTGGTCCGGCAGGGGGTTCCGGCGGGAACTGTCCACAGTTGTGTGGACAATACAAACACAGTCTCATCTCCAAAGAGACAGTTCTGGCTCCTGCCCGGAGGTGGAGTTGCGAGGAACCCGGCAGGGCTCTGGTGTGAATGGGGCTGGTCCATCGTATCCCTCGGGGTCAGTGTTTGTCCTAGAGAGAACAAGGTTTGTTCATTATCAGTTTGAAGGATGACTGGGCAGATGAGGGAGGGGCAGAGGCAAGAGAGCATGCTGGGTAGAGAGGACAGGAAAAGTCTGGGTTCTATAAGGAGACCCAAGGATCTTTGTGGAGGGTGGATCTGAAGAAAAAAGAAGCGAGCTGGGCATTGGTGGCGCACGCCTTTAGTCCCAGCACCCTGGAGGCAGAGGCAGGCGGATCTCTGTGAGTTTGAGGCCAGCCTGGTCTACAGGGTGAGTTCCAAGACAGCCAAGGCTACAAAGAGAAACTCTGTCTCAAAACAACAACAAAGAAAGAAAGGAAGGAAGGAAGGAAGGAAGGAAGGAAGGAAGGAAGGAAGGAAGAAAATAAGACGCATACTCCAAACCTCGTTCCCATCTGGAAGCTATGATGACCATATATCTTACAAGGTTGCTAGAAAAACAAACCCTCACATGGTCTACACAACAGTTCCCAGAGTAGCGGCTACTCTGCCACCCCAACCCTGCGGGCTGTCCTGTCCTCAGCTAGGGATGGTATTCAAGGTCCTTGTTCCCAAGCCCAACCCTTGTTAAATGCGGAACAGCTGGAAGGAAGGTCAAGGAACAAGCTAGCTCCTCTCCACTCCAGCCTCCCCTGCCGGGGTCACAGAGCTGCTTGGGGACAAGGATGCTCCTAGACCAGGTCTAAGTCCATCAAGGGTGCTTGCAATAATCTGGGTGGATGCTGGGGAAAGATGGGAAACTGGGGCACTCTGTCTCCCAAAACCAAGGGCTGGGGTGTGGCTCAGCAGTACAGCGCTTGCCTAGAATCCCCCAGTGGGGGTCTGGGGGCGTGGTCAATGCTAAGGTCCTGGGTTCCAGTCCCAGGAAAGCAGGATCATTCCTGGATGGTATAGACTAGAACTAGAAGCTCCATAAGCAAGCATCCCCGCTGTTACAGGGGAGACACACACACACACACACACACACACACACACACACACACACACACACACACACACACAGAGTTTTCTTGTTCCTTTGTGTACTTAGTGACTTCTGAGCGTTTTCTCACAGCCCCGCTGGCTTGGGCGACCTAGACGGCTGGCGCGCTTACCTCCTGTTTGTGGGTCTTGTCTGGCTGGTGGATACCATTGGCTGAACCGGAATTGCTGATGGTCTGTGAGGGATCGGAAGGGGAGGAGCTGCTGAGCAGGCGGCCTGGATGCAGTTCCACATGTAACCACAAGGGGGCGGCAGAGTTCCCCAATGGGACCAGCCTGGCTCAGAAGCAAGCCCTTGCTCGCCTACTTTTTCAGATTTGAGTTCTTAGGATGGGGCCATCGTCCTTCAGACTTGGGGGCAGAGGGGGCAGGGGGCAGGCTGGCAGTGTTCAGTGATGGGCCACTCTCCCTTGTCAGACTGGGGTCCCCAGGATGGAGCTGCCTCCCGTTTGGGACTGGGGTTCCTGGACCTGGCCACCCTTCCCTTGATGGGGGGTTCCTGAGGCTGCAGCCCCGTGTGCTCACCAGCGTCCTGTCTGAGCAGCCCCTAAGAGCCTCCACCAGCCTCTCCACCTGCTGGGCTTGGTCCAGCGCGTCCCGCAGGGCATCCTCCGTGCTCACCAACTGGTGCTGCAGCCGCAGGAGCTCGGGTGCTGAGGCCGGATCAATGAGGGAGTAGCGTCTCTGCTCTGACAGGGACTTCTCCTTGTCCTGGAAGGATGGAGGCGTGGGCGTGTGACCTGCCTGTGTGGGTGCTAGCTGGAAACTTCTCAGGCCCCACCTCCCTTCTGAGTGGAGCCTGGGCTTTACATGGCCCTCCCTCCCCAAGCCCTAGACTTAACACCTCCCAACCCAGTCTTCCTGAGTGCTCTTCCAGCTAAGCCACAGAGTCAACTGACACCCACCCAGAATTCCTCTCTCACTCCCAACCCACACGACACTCCTCCCAGCTGTCCCTGGCCCCTTACGAGCGTCCACACACTCCACTCTGGCCGGCCCAGCCTCCTCTGGCTCTAACCTAGGACTTTAGGCCAAGCTCGGAACATCTGTGCAAACCTCACCATGGCACCACGGCCCACGCTTTTCATGCGGCTTCCAACTTTTGACTACGCTCTTCCCTGCACAGGGCTGGTCCACCAGCCTGGAGCCCCAGAGCTCTGGAAAGCCCACCTCATTCCCTCCTGTGTCACAGAGCCACACAGGTCACAAGTGCCCTGGGGTGCATCTAACCAGGCCAGACACTGGACTAGAACGCTGGCAGCTGGGCCCGAGAACTGCCATCCATACCTAGGGCCAGCCACGAAACTGGATGGGTCCCACGTGCTTAAAGAGCTCTTTGTTTTCTGGACCTCGTGTAGACTTGCTATGCAGCTGAGGATAGCCTTGCACACTCCCTCCCCAGTGCCGGGGTTACAGGTACAGGCCACTCCATTGGTTTCGTATGGTGCTGGTGGCAGAAGCCACACTTCATTCAAGCACCAACTGAGCCCGTTCCCCAGCTCTGCTTTCTTGATTCACCGTCCTCTCCGCCCTGTGGATTCCTCCAGGGCCAGAAACAGCCCAGCTAACCCCTGCAATCCAAAGTGCCACCCAATCCACACGCCAAAGACGGCCAGGGGTGGCCGGGGCTGCAGACACCAGTGAAAAGGGGAAGGGTTGGGACCAGTTCCGTCCCGAGCCGCCAATGTCACCAGCTGTCTCCATCCCCACCCATGGCCACTCGGCTGCCCATGAGGAAGGAACTTTAGAGCCCTCTGGCGCCCGGCCACCAGTCTCTCTGTTTGAGATCCTGGAGGGCTGGGTTTTCTGCCTGCTCTGTGATGTCGGGAGGCCCCTGGTCTCCCTGGCCTGGCAGCAGGACAGCCTTGGAACCCCTTCCCCTCCCCCCACCCCTCGCTCGCACGTACCAGCCCCGCCAGCTTCTCGCGCAAGCCCCGGATGTCATCTTTCAGTTTTTGTTCCTTTATCCGCCATTCGGCCTTGTGCACCTCACGGCTCAGGTCTCTCTCGGGCCCTGGGGAGTGGCGATTGGCTTCTAACAGCAGCACCCTCAGCTCGTTCAGACTCCTAGCAAGGGCGGACGGTCACAGAAACGGCGTCAGTGTGCACCTAACCCCCATAGCGTGAGCCATGTGCCCGGAGGCCCATGACCACCAGGGGGCGCCAGCCACAAGGCAATGGTGCACTAGATACAAGCTCCAAGGATGTGGCCAGAGTCTGCCACACCCCAGAGGGACAGCCTCTGGACGCCCGGTCATCAAGAGGCCTCGGCTGTTCTTTTTTTTTTTTAAGATTTATTTATTATGAATACAACATCCTGCCTCCATGTATGTTTGCACACCAGAAGAGGGCGCCAGATCTCATTATGGATGGTTGTGAGCCACCATGTGGTTGCTGGGAAATGAACTCAGGACCCCTGGAAGAGCAGCCGGTGCTCTTAACCTCTGAGCCATCTCTCCAGCCCCTCGGCTGTTCTTAAGAGTTTCGTCTGTTTGTTTTAAAAAGCTTACTTATTTTTGTTATACGTTTTTTTTGTGTGTACGGGTGTTTTGGTGTTCAGGTATGTCTGTGGACCCTGTGCATACTTTGTGTTCCCAGAGGCCAGAAGCCTGTGTCGGATCCCTGTGGAACTGGAGGCGTGGATGTTTGTGAGCCACCATATAGGTGCCGGGAGTCAAACTGGGACCATCTGGAAGAGCAGCCATCTCCCAAGTCTCGGAACTTTTTTTTTAAAGATTTTTTTTTGTTTGTCTTGTTTTGAGACAGGGTTTCGTGTAGCCTCGGCTGGCCTCCAACTCCCTATGTAGGACCTTGAACCCCTGACCCCCTCCTGCTGTCCCTCCCAGGTTTGACGACTACGACTGGTGTATGTGGCTGCCCATGGAACTCGGGATGCCGTGCATGGCAGTCAGGGGCCACCTCCCTCAGCCCCAGGTAATCCCTTGAGTGATGGGATCACAGGCGCACACTGTCGTGCTGGGCGACCAGTCTGGGGTTAGGAATAAAAACGAGGAAAGTATTGCAAAGTCGGAGGAGGGCTGGCGAGATGGCTCAGAGGTTAAGAGCACTGGCTGTTCCTCCAGAGGTCCTGAGTTCAATTCCCAGCAACCACATGGTGGCTCACAACCACCTGTAATGAGATCTGGCGCCCCCTTCTGGTGTGCAGACATACATGCAGGCAGAACACTGTATACACAGTAAACAAATAGATCTCTACAAGCACCAGGTACACACGGGGTACACAGATGTACATGTAGGCAAAACACTCATATACATACAATAAACACATCTAAAAAGATTAAAAAGATGTCAGGCAGTGGTGGCGCACACCTTTGATCCCAGCACTTGGGGGAAGGGAGGGAGGGGGGAGGGTGGGAGGGAGGGAGGAGGGAGGGAGGAGGGAAGGAGGGAAGGAGGGAGGGAGGAGGGAAGGAGGGAGGGAGGCTCGGTCTCTGCAGCCTCATTGGAGCTGATTATTGAACCACTCACCGCTCCTTCTGTAGCAGCTCCTGGCTAATGTGGACCAGCTGCCCCGAGGCATCATGGGTCTTCCGAGACGCGGCCTCTAGCTCTGCCTCTAGACGCCTCTTTTCCTTCAGGATTGAGTCCATCTTCTTCTCTCCTGATTTGCACTTGTTCTCCAGGGCTGGGGGGAAGCCACAAAGAAAGTGTTCAAACACAAATGGGAAGGGGGGGTGGCTCAGCGGGTAGAGTGCCTGGCCCAGCATGTCAGAGGCACTGGGTTCGATTCCCAGCACTGCCTAAACCGGAACGATACCAAACATGGCTGTGACGCAAGCACTTCAGGTGGGGCCAGGCTGGGGAGACGACAGTAATGTCACCCTGAGAGGCGGCCGTGCCAAGTGTTAGCACAGGTTTATAATTCCAACACTGGGGGGCTGAGGCAGGAGGATCACTGTGAGTTCAAAGCCAGCCTAGGCTAGAGAGACCCAAGAAGAGTCGAGGCCTAGCACGCATGACGCCCCGGGTTCCATCCCCATTTAAGCCAGGTCTGAAAACGTGGTTGTCATTGTAGCACTTGGGAGGCAGAAGGAGGGTTAGAAGTTCAAAGCCATTCTCAGCGATGATGGGAATTCAGGACCTGCCGAATTTTTTTCAAAAAAGAAAAAGGTAGCATCCAAGTGAGTATTGACTGTCAACTGGACACAGCTTAAGAGTCGACTGAAAAGAGAGTTGCAATTAACTGTCTTTATTAGGCTGATCTGTGGGTCTTTGTTCTGATTGTTAATTGATATAAGTGGGCCCAGCCCACTGTGGGCAGCACCATTCCCTAGACAGGTGGCACCGGACTGTATCATAAAGCTAACAACACACAAGCCAGAGAGCAACTTTCCTGTGATGTCTACTCTAAGTTCCTGCTTGAGTTTCTGCCCTGACTTCCTTCAGCGATGGACTGTGACCTGGAAGTTTACGCCCATGTCTACGTACCTGACTCTATGGGGTGGGGACGCAGGCAGGTCACCATGGCTGTCTTTTTTTACACTGCTATCCAGACAAGGAAAAAGCTGAGGCTAAGACTTCACTTTGGGCCGGGCGTTGGTGGCACACGCCTTTAATCCCAGCACTCGGGAGGCAGAGGCAGGTGGATCTCTGTGAGTTCGAGGCCAGCCTGGTCTACAAAGTGAGTTCCAGGACAGCCTCCAAAGCTACAGAGAAACCCTGTCTCGAAAAACAAAAAAACAAACAAAAACAAACAAAAAAAACAAAACAAAACAAAAAAAGACTTCACTTTGGGCTTCCAGAGTCTACAGCCTTTCTCAAGACCTGTGAGGCCGGGTAAATGTAACCAGGGCTGGAAGAAAGGGGGTGGGGACCATGCCCCAGGAGTTTGGGGGGTTCCTGGAGCAACGCCAAGGGTGCTTTGAACAATGAGTCCGAGTCACCAATCCCGTACTCCTGGCCTCTCCCAGTTCCTCTCTGTGTATTTTGCTTTCAGCTGTGGCCCACATTCTATATTCTATTTCTTTTAAGACTGTCTTATGTAGCCCAGGCTGAGTCCCTACATTTCAATGCAGGCTTGAACCCCCTGATCCTCCTGCCTCTGCCTCCCGAGTGCTGGGATTAAAGGTGTGCAACGCCATGTGAGGCTTCCTACAGGCCATCCTCTCTCTCCTGGGGACTGGGGGCTGCATGGAAGAGGCCTGTGAGAAACTCCAGTCTTCACGACGGCCATGGAGAAAACTTGGGATCTGGGGGCATGAACTCAGTCGGCTCTGGGCAGCGCATCCGCACATCTGGTCACTCAGCAGAGCCCAGGCACAGCTCTCAAGCAGACACACCAGCCCAGCTGGGCCTGCAGAGCCACAGCTGCACCAACCCCCAACATCTGGCCCTAGGGAGGGAGACTTACCACTTACTTGGGCCCTGAGCATGTCCATCTGGGATGTCAAGGCTGCCACCTCTTTGTCCCTCTTGTTCAGCTTGTCCTGCAGACCTAGGAGAGAAAGAGAAGGCAGGGATACATGAGCATCAGAGGGTCAACTCCGGGGAGGGGGGAGAGTCCTAAAGGGGTCACGCTCAGCCTCTAGTGTCAAAGGTCTTTCCTCACTGTCCGAGTCCCCACTCAGAGGAAGATGATGGAACAGGGCGTGGTTTAGGGAACATGGCTCTCCATCTCATCAAGAGTGAAATAAGGATGGCGGCCACAGAGCCTCCAAGAGGAACCTGTGTGGGACAGCTGCCCAAGCCCACCAGGAAGACGCGTCGGAGCATATGGGTGGCTCCCAGGTTAATCAGTTTATCACCTATTACTTTCACACAGCCCAGGCTGGCCTCTGGCATATTACGTGGTTGGGGTTAACCTTGAACTTCTGTTTGTCCTCCTTCCATTTCCAAAGAGAAACAAACATGCATCACCAGCCCAGTTTTATGTGGTGGTGGGGTGGGGTGGAACCAGGGATTCTCGAATGCCAGGCAAGCGCTCCACCAAGCCACACCCGCAGCCCCAACATATACCTACTTTTCTTGAAATAGCATCTTGATATGCAGCCCAGGCTAGACTTGATCTCATGGGAGTCCTATCTCACATAATTACTATTTTTTAAAGATTTATTATGTATACAGTGTTCTGCCTGCATGCTTGCCTGCACACCAGGAGGAGGCACCAGATCTCATTACAGATGGTTGTGAGCCACCATGTGGTTGCTGGGAATTGAACTCAGGACCCCTGGAAGAGCAGTCAGTGCTCTTAACCTCTGAGCTGTCTCTCCGGCCCCATCACATAATTTTTTTTTGTTCTGTGTTTATTTTTCTTCCTTTTTTAAAAATTTAAGTTAGAAACAAGCTTGCTTCACATGTCAATCCCAGCTCCCTCTCCCTCCCCTCCTCCCCCACTCTCCCACCACATAACTATTTTTTGAGACAGGGACTCCATATGTAGCCCAGGCTAGCCTTTAACTCATGGCAATCTTGCCTCAGCCTCCCTAGTGCTGGGACTATAAGCTCCTACCACAATTCCTGGATAGTTTATATCTAACTTTAAAAAACAAGGCAAACAAACAAACAAGATACAGGAGCCAGCAGCAGGCAGAGAGGCTTCTGTCATTTACAATCCCATCCTATTTCACACCCCGTTTTCTAAGTTTTCTGGAGCAAATTGCCACAAAGGTAAGAACTGTTCACCAGGGACTGGAGAGATGGCTCAGAGGTTAAGAGCTCTGACTGCTCTTCCAGAGGTCCTGAGTTCAGTTCCCAGCAACCACATGGTGGCTCACAACCATCTGTGATGAGATCTGGCTCCCTCTTCTGGTGTCAGGCAGACACACATGCAGGCAGAATACTGTCTGCACAATAAATAAACTTAGCAAAAAACCAAAACTGTTCACCATTTGGAGACGGAAGCTCCTGCGGCTCTCAATGCTAGCCTATGCCCTCCAGCTCCCATTTCTTTAACTATCCCAGACAGAGACCCTTCAGCTTGTGTTCACAGATTCCGCCTGTTCTGTTGTCTTATTGCGTATAATCTGTGCGTGTACGCCACAGATTATAGGTGGAGCAATTTGTAGGTCGGAGGGCAACGTGGAAGAGTCGATTCTCTCCTTCTAACCGTGTGCCAGCCGGGAAGGGGAACTCAACTCCTCAGGCTTGGCAGCGAGTGTCTCTTCCCGCAGAGCTACCTCTCAGGCCCACAGGAAGCTGCTTTGTGAGACAGAGACACCTGCTCCTTCCCTGGTTCCGGAACACCCTCTCCTGGAGGAGACCCAAAGAGGAGCCGACGAGACCTCGTGACTCCGCTCCACAAAGCCTGGACTCCCACCCGAGGCTACTCACCCTCCACGGTCTCCTTCATCCGGATCTTCTCCTCAGAGAGGTCACTGGGCTCGATCACCTGAAAGGACAGTCCTGTAAGGGGACACACCTGCCTCCTTCCCCAGGCCAGCTCTTACACCTCTGCTTGTGAGAAGGGACAGTGGGGGTGCAGGGACCCAATATGCCAGCAGGTGGCGCAGACGCACTTGGACTCTCCTGAGAAAGAGCACCCTCAAAGGATTCCCGGGCAGCCCATAAACCACTGTTTTGGGGAGTAAGGAACAGAGGATGGACCCTTGGATCTTTTCCATATTAGGGAGGTACTTTAGACCACTCCCCCAGCCCCTCCCTAGGGGATTCTAAGCAGGTGCTCTACCACTGAGCCACACCCCAGCCCCTCACTGGGGATTCTAGGCAGGTGCTCTACCACTGAGCCACACCCCAGCCCCTCACTGGGGATTCTAGGCAGGTGCTCTACCACTGAGTCACACCCCAGCCCCTCACTGGGGGATTCTAGGCAGGTGCTCTACCACTGAGTCACACCCCAGCCCCTCACTGGGGGATTCTAGGCAGGTTCTTTACTGATGAGCCATGGGCCCAACCCTTTTTAATTTTCACCGTCGACTCATTAGGTTGCAACAAACCGACTTTCAACTCACTCTGTAGCCTCAAGCTTGTTATCCTACCTCAAACTCTCCAGTGGCTAGAATTACTGTATTGGGTCACCATGTCTGGTATGGGTAATTCCTAGGTTAAGAATGATTATTATATTAAATCAGTGTCTCTTTTCCTGAGATCTGCTTTGGGAACTTTTCTTGTCATTTCCAGGACACTACTCTGGATGCCCCAATAATAAAACGAGCACTGAATGTATACAATGTATATAGCAGAGCCTAGGGCCAGCTCCTGGCGGACATCCCTAAACTGCGTTCTTCCCTAAAATGCATTCTTCCCAACACTTATTTAATAGCAAACCTAGAAGCCAAGGGAGAAAAAGTTGATTGAGAAAGAAAAATTGAGGATCTGGGTAGATGACTCAGTTGGTAAAGTCCTTGCCTTGAAAACAATAGGGTTTGAGTTTGGGTCCCAGAATCCACATAAAAGAGCTGGGCACAGCAGGTGTGGTGGCATACACCTTCAATCCCACCACTGGGAAGCAGAGACAAGGCAATGCTGGCTGGGATGACGGTCAGCCTAGCCCACCTCCAGGCCAGTTAATGTGTCAAAAAAACCAAAGCAGATGGTACCCAAGCTTGATCTCTGGCCTCCACACATATGCATCCCAAGCACATGTGTGCATGCACACACACATACATATCAGCAAGGTGGAATATGGTGGCTCACATCTGTACTCTCAGCACTTGAGAGGTAAAGGCAAGAGATCGGGAATTTAGGGTTACCCTCAGCTACAGAGTGAGTTTGCGGCCAGCCTGAGACCCCATCTCAGACAAACAAATAAGAAATGTCTCTTCCCGAGAGAAAGGCTGCAGACAACTGATTTCCCAAACGACACACAGCAGAGGTTGTGCTTCAATTAAAAGCTAAGCCCCGAGCTGGCCCCTTGTAAGGTCGTTTTAAGGAGCTGTTGGAGGCTGGGGACAAGGGTCAGCAGTTAAGAGTGTGCAGACACTTGCAGAGGTCCCGAGTGCGGTTCCCAGCACCCAAATCAGGTGGCTCACAGCCAAGTGAACTCCAGCTCCGGGGATCTGAAGCCTCGGGGCTCTGTGGGCACTGCTACTCAACATGTGCACGCCCGTTCATAATCAGACTCGATCAGTCCTGAAATGGACCGATGCAGGCCTCGGCAGACGTGAAGCTTGGAGCCAGTTCAAGCATCCTTCTGGGCCTGCTGGAGTGGACACGGTTCTCCATACTCCTTGGCCTCCCTCAAGGACAAACAAGGCATGCTTAGCTGGAGCAAGATGAGATAGCCGGGCATTTCTAGATTGGGAACAAAATGGGTCATGGTGGCTGTGGCCTTCCCTGGGTAGGTGTTTGATAAGACTAGGACCTGGGAGGGACAGTTTCCCTCTGCATGTATGCCCATTTAGTGAGTGACACTCGAGTACTGGGTACCAGAAGAGCAACAGGAAACACTGGATGGCCAGCTCAATAGACCATGTGTTTGTTCTGTCATACTGGGGAAGGGACCCCGGACATAAGGGAGGACTTATGCTAGGCTAGTGGTCTAGCCACACCCTTGGCCCATTTTTAAAAATTTAACTTTGACACAGAATCTCACTAAGTTGCTGAGCCTGGCCTTGAACCTGCGATCTCTAAGCGTCTAAGCCAATCAGGGTTGGGGGGGGGGCTGGCAAAACGGTGCTTCAGCGGCCCTCAAAGCCTGTCTATGGAGGCCCGGCAGGGTGGGCTCAGACCACCCAATGATCACCAGACCCCTCCTGAGATACTTTGCTCCCCACCTGGCACACAGGGGCCACACCCTCCCAGCCCCTCCCCATCTGAGTCCCACGGGGGCAGAGTGCAGCCTACGTGGCTATGCTGGGCCGAGCACAGGGACTCGACGGCCTGGAGTCTATTCTCGGCCACCAGCAGCTTTTCCCTCAGCCGCTCGGCCTCCTGCCTGCTCTGGGCCTCCGCCCTCTGCAGCATCTCATAATCTAACATCTTCTTTTCGGCCAGCGAGATCTGCTCTTTGAGGAACTCGATGGCCTGAGCCTGGCCCCGGTACTCCACATCCAGCCCCTCCAGCTCCTGCACGCGCAGCTGGGCGTCACGGCACTGGTCCCGGGCTTCCTGGAGCTGCAGCCGGTGCTGGCTGGCCTGGCCCTCCAGTTGGGCCCTCCACTGTTGCTGCAGCCCCGCCAGCTCCTCCTGGGCCTCCTGCAGCTTCTGCCGCAGGCCCTCCTTCTCCTTCCCGTGCATGGCTGTCTCCAGGTCGTGCTTGGCCTGCAGGTTGCCCAGCTCCAGCTGGTGCTCCATCCTGATGCCCTCCACCAGCGCCTTCAGCTCCCCGATCTCCTTCTGCTGGGCGCCTGGGCCAGAGTTCAGCGTGGCTTTCAGGTCCTCCAGGGACTTCTGGTGGTCAGAGGCCAGAGAGTCCAGCTTGGATTTCCAGTTGTCCATGAGTCCCATGTTCTCGCTCGTGGCCTGCTGCACCTTGGCCTTGAGGTCCGCCACCTCCTGCGCGTACTTCTCGTTGGCCGCCCGGAGCTTCTCCACCTCAGCCTGGTAGGTCTTCAGCATCTTCTCGTACTTCTCCTGGAGCAGGGTGCTGTCTCGCCGATGCTCCTCGCTGGCCGACAGCAGCCGCTCCCGCAGCCGCAGGGTCTCGGCGGCCTCGGGGTGGTCCTGGGGTGGGGGCCCAGACTGGAGGAGACACTGCTGCAGCTCCTCTATCTCCCCACGCCGCAGGCTCAGCTCCTCTTCCAGCTGCAGCACCCGAGACTTCTCGGCCACCGTGGTGAGCTGTCGTGCAAGAAAGGGGCACAGGTCACGGGCTGAGGCTGCGCGCAGGGGATAGGTACGCACATACGTACGTACGTACGCCAGCCCCGATTGGGCGGCGGTGGGCTGACTGGAAGGTGCCTATCCCTTGCTAGGTACTGGCTTTTCTCTGGGGGTCCTACGGCGCCCCCAAATGATGGGGGTGAACCACAACGTCCTTGTTGCTCAGGCGACTTAGAACCCTTTGGTGCATGAGAAGTCTGAGTTTAGAATTTTTCTAGAAGCTAATGCTATATCATCAGCAATCCTCCTGCCTCAGCTTCCCAAGTGCTGGGATTACAGGTATGCGCCATGGTGCCCAGCTGGGTAAGCCTTTTCTGACTTGCACTCCGGCTGAGCCTGTCTTGAGGGTGCTAACCCATGTAGCGAGTTTCCTGCATGTAGCGTTTTGGCACACAGAGTGCATACGATCATCAGGCAACGTGCACACTAACCCATGTGTCCCCAGACACCCACATGCCCTGCACAGTGCTATGGCCACTATTCAGAAACTGAGCCCCTGTCTCAAGCTGCCCATCTGTCTGCAGGGTGGTTTTCCTGATCAATGTTTGCTGCTTGGTTAATCTCCTCCCAGCAGAGCTAGAGCTGGTCTGGCCAGCCATCTGGACATATGCACAGTACATGTACACAGTGTGGAGGGGCCAGCTGGGCCTGGAGTGCGGGGCACAGAACCACACCCTAGCACCAACGGGACCATTCTCCCAATGCAGCGTCTCAGGACCTCCGTGACACACTACATGCCTATGTTCAGCCTTGGAGACTGACGTCCTTTGGGGATATCCCAACATATAAAAAGCCTCACTTCCTGAGCCCAGGTCCTCCAGCTTGGTCCTCTGCTGCCACCCTAAGACCCTCCAGGCTAGAGCACCCTGGATCTGTATTCCCATTCTCTGACCTCAGCAGCATGGACAAGGAAGCCCGTGTCCACCCAAGACAACCAAGACCACTCCCAGGAGGCTTCTTTGTGGCAACGGACAGGAAGGAGGCACGGGGGATGGTCTCAAAGAGATGCCTCCGCTCAAGGCGCCATGAACTTGGCAGCAATCCCAGAGGACGGACACCCCCTTCCCAAAGAGCACCGCTCGGCCGGCGCAGCGAGCCTGACTTGAAATCTCCACTTCCCTCCCAGAGGGGAGTGCGGGAGGAAACTCTAAAAAGGGAGAGCAGCCATCACGTTGAGAGAAGAGGCAAAGGGGGTCTCGAGGGCGAGGGGCCACGGCGCTGGCCAGGTGGGTGGCAGTGGCGGGCGCGGTGGGTGGCAGAGGCGGGCGCGGTTTACCCTGTTATCCGCTAATTCTCTAAGCAGCCGCTCGGCCTGCGCCTTCTCCAATAGCAGGCTCTGCTCCAACTCCCCAATGCGCGCGTGTTCCAGCTGGGTCTGGGTCTGCTCCACCCAGGGGGGAGAGGGATAGGGGGGCAGACAAGGAGGGCAGGGGTGTGGGGAAGAGGGCACGGGGAACAGGAAGCCGGAGAAAGAAAGAAAGGGAGTGAGAAAGAAAAAGAGAAAGAGAGAGAGAGGAGGCGTCATCTTTAGTGAACAAGACTGTGAAATAGATCATGAGCTGGAGTCGCTTGGGGAAGAGAGAGAGGATCTCAGAAGTGGGGTGCATGGGGGGCTGGGTGCCCTCCCCTCATTGTGGCCTAGCTGTGAGTATATTCAAGGCAGAGGAAGTTGTGAGAACCAGCTCTTGCCAGCCTCTGGTAACGTGGTGGCAATAACCACCCCAGTTTCCTCTCAAAGCTCTCAAGTCCAGCCCTTCTCTGCTGCCACTCTGGGAGTCTGCGGACTTCTTTAAGGTTTTTTGAGGCAGGGTTTCTCTGTGTAACAGTCCTGGCTGTCCTAGAACTTGCTCTGTAGACCAGGCTGGCTTCAAACTCATAGAGATCCTCCTGCCTCTGCCTCCCGAGGGCTGGGATTAAAGGTGTGCGCCACCATGCCCAGCCTTTTTACCGATTCACCGTGTGTGTATGTGTGTGTGTGCATGCACACCCGCCGCTGTGCCCATGAGGGCAGTCAGAGGACATGCTGCAGAGCTGGATCTCTCCTTCCAATGAGGGTCCCAAGGATCAGACTGAGGCTGTCAGGTTTGGCAGCAAGTGCCTTTACCTGCGGGCCATCTTGCCAACCTTTTTTTCCTTTCCATCACTATATAGTTCTGGCTGGCCCTGAAAGCCCTCCATAGGCCTTGAGCTCACAAACTACCCACACACCTCTGCCCGGAGTGCTGGGACTAAAGCCGTGTGCCACCACACCTGCTTTCCTTTTCGGCCTTTTGAAACGAGGTTCTGCTGTGCAGCCTGCCAAGTATGGGCATGTGCCTTCATTTCCAGTTTGACCCCTAAGCTATAGCACCCTGTACACAGGATGAATGAATGAATGAATGATCCCGGAACTTCAGGGGGAAAAAAGATCCAACAGGACAGGGTTTTCCAAGTCATCTTGATTTTGTTTGGTTTAGGCTTTTTGTTTTGTTTTGTTTTCTGAGACAGGGCTCAGTATGTTACCAAGGCTGACCCTCACTTCTCAAGCATGAAGACTGTACCATGCCCAGCTTGGTCTGGAACTCAGTATGTAATCCAGGACGCCCTTGAACCTGCAATCCTGCCTCAGCCTCCCTAGCGCTGGGATGACAGGTACCTGCCACTACCCCTGCCTAATGCAACTCACGCCATCTTGATTCTCCTGGTTAGACCTCCTGGGTGGGGGCTGGGCTAACACCACTGCCCTTCCTGGAGCCTGGCTCAGCTGACATCCCTCCTCCTCGCCCTTCCCCAGGCTCTGCAGAGGACGCCTGGTCTCTGTTAAGCACAAGGGCACTTTTGTCCCCTCTTTACAACACCCGCTTCATTTGAGAACAAAGCATGACATTCTCTGGGTGGCACAGAGTTGGCATCTGGTTGGCCTGTAGTGGATATTTGCAAGTAAGCAGGGTGGTGGGGAGGAAACACGCCCGGGGTACTCCTAGGAAACCACACTGGGACCAGGTTTGTCTCAGAAGGGTAGGGAGGGTGCAACCCACCCTTAGGGAAGGAAACACAAGATAAAACACACGACTCAACCCTACAGCAAGTCTGAAGGGGTGGGCAGGGCTTAGACATTGGGGATAATGTTCAGATGCCAGGAGGAAGTGGCCAGCCTCGGGGACAGAAAGATTGGAACCTAATACCGGTCACTCAGCAGAGGAGGAGGGAGAGGGGGGCCTAGCAAGCAGTGATGAGTTTAGCCACGAAGACAGTAGAGGGCGGGGTGACCCGGACCAAGGGGGGGGGTTCTGTTTAGGACAGGGTTCAGGCTTTCAACTTTGACTTTGCGTGTATGGATGCGTGTGGGTATGTGTGGGTGTGTGTGCCTGTGTGTTCATAGTCATGTGGAGACCAGAGGTGGGTACCAGGTCTCCATCCTGTTTTTAGAGACGGGGTCTCACTGAAACTGGAGCTCACTGGCTAGGCCAACCAGCTGTCTCCAGGGATCCTGTCTGTCTCTTTCTCCTTGGCAACAGGGCTAGACACGCACAGTGCCGGTTTCTAAGAATGCTTGGGATGCAAACTCAGGATCTCTGTTGATTGTTCTCACCGTGGCCCTTAACTAGGGAGTTCTATGCAGGTGTTCTTTTCCTGAGTTATGTTCCCAGGCGCCCCCACGCCCCCCCAATGTGGGTTTCTAGGTAAGATATCTACTGCTGAGCCAGTATTTATGTGTGTAAGTATATTGCCTGCATGTATGTAAACTACCATGTATGTGCAGTGCCCTTGAAGGCTAGAAGGCATAATCTCCTGGAACTGGGGTTACAGATGGTTGGGCGCCACCATGTGGGTGCTGGGAATTGAACTTAGGTCCTCTGCAATAACAGCAAGTGCTCTCAGCACCTCTGTGACACCAGTTTTGACGTTATTGTTTGTTTGTTTTTGTTTTTTCCAGACAGAGTTTCTCTGTGTAACAGTCCTGGCTGTCCTGGAACTCACTCTGAAGACCAGGCTGTCCTCGAACTCGCTGAGATCCACCTGTCTCTGCCTCCTGAGTGCTTAAAGGTGTTCGCCACCACTGCCCAGCTAGTTTTGATTAAAAAAAAAAGCTAAAAAGTGTGTGTGTGTGTCCTTGAGCATATGTGCAGGTCCCCATGGATGTCAGAAGAGGGCACTAGAACCCTTAGCGCTGGAGATACAGGAGGCTGTAGCCATCTGGGAACTGAACCCTAGGTTCTCTGGAAGTGTAGTGAGTGCTCTTAACCACTGAGAATCTCTATAGCCTCTTGGTTTGTCTTTGAAGATGGGTGGGGAAAACAGCATGGGTGCCTGATGCCTGCAGGCTGAGGCAGGACAACTCTGAGTTCCAGGCCAGCTTGGGCAGTCTCAAAAAAAAAAAAAAAACCTAAACCAAGCCGAGAGTGAGTGGGGATAAACTGGACTTTAGCACATTCTGGTCACAATTTCGTCTTTAGAATAAAAGCTCAAAACTGGATGTGACAGCCCTTCTGGCTAACCTGGCTGTGCTGCCGTTTGCCCTGCCCCCTTCCTCAATGGCACCAGCCTACTGGCAGGCCTGGAACCAACCAGACTCTCTCCAGGGGATGACTGGGTGGTAATGCCTGGCAGGTTGGAACAGGGAGCAGATGCAGTAAGAGACACAGACAGACAGGGGGCAGACGGACAGGCTGACCCAGAGTCACTAAGGGTCTGTGAGCTCCGGGCACCACCCTGGCTCCAGCTCCTTGAACTGCCGGCCCTGGGCGGTGTGCACGTGAGCATTTCCCTGTGGTCGTTCATGGTCTAAGCCTCTGCTGATGGAAGGAGGTGGAGGGGACTCAGTTCTGGCAGCCCCCATCCCCCCACAAGCCCAAGCCCACCCATCTGTCCTCTGCAGGGGGGGGGCTGCCCATCAGATAAACCAGCCACAACCACCTGTCCTGTCTCCCTTTGGCTGTAACAAAAACACAAATCACGATGGCTTCAGGCTGGGTAAGGGCACTAGCCTCGTCTCTTTCCCTTCCCTTCCCCTCCCCTTCCCCCGTCCTTTCTTTGGGGGTCTCGTTTATCCATCTATTCCAGGCTGCCCTCACACCCACAGCATAGCTGAGGCTGGCCCTGAACTCTTGATCTTCCTGCTTCTACTTCCTGGGGTCTGGGATTACAGGCGTGTGACACCAGTTTTTGTTGTGGTTTTTAAAAGATGGGGTCTTACTGTGCGGTCCTGCCTGGCTTACAACTCCATACACGGACCAGACTGGCCTTGCATTTGCCATGTAGCCAAGGATGACTTTCCTGTCTAGTCTCCGGCCTCTGCCTCCCTATACTAGGGTTGCTACCGCGCTGAGATCTGAGCCCCAGACTCCACACAAGCTAGGCAAGCAGTCTGCCAGCTGAGCTACGTCTCCAGCTGCCTTCTGACGTTTCTCTTAGCAGGGTCTTGCTAAGAAAGGCAGGTTGATTTGCACTTGGTATGTAGCCCAGGCTAGCCCTGAACGTGCAATCATCTTCCTTCAGCCACTCTAGAAAGCTAGGGTACCACCAAGCCCAGACCAATGTTGAGTTGAAATGAGAAATGTCCTATGGCTGGGACTTCTAAGGTCCTTCAGGGACTTGGGGTTGGTCACAAATGCAGACCACAGGGTCTCAGCTATAGTTAAACCCCGCAGGGATGGACACTAGGGCCTGACTACCTGTAATGGATTTCGACTGTCTCATTTTACAGTGGAGGAGGCTGAGGGCTGTCAAAGGGAAGTGTTTTCCATCCAGACAGGCCAGAAACACGGCAGAAAGAGTTCAGCTCGCTGTCCCACTTGGCCACGCCGGAAGTTCTATCTCTTTCCTTTGCAAGGGACCATCAAGAGACACAACAGGAAAGCTGGCCAAGGGTGGTCTGCCGACCCCAGAGGCCTCTACAGGCTTAGGGGCAGGGCTAGATGACCCCTAACTCAGCACAGTGTGTTTACTGACTCGGGATAATCCCGGCTGTGTCCACACAGTGTTTACAAGGAGGCAACTTGGAGAGGGAACAGGCTGGACCAGGATCCGACAGCTACCGTCTCTAGTGCCCACACTTGCTAGTGGCTTACAGCACTGGGAGAGTCTCTACCTTGTTGAGCTCTGGTGCTTTTTTTGTCTGTTTGTTTCATGTAGCCCAGGCTAGCCTTAAACTCACTAGACAGCTGAGGATGACCTTGGACTCGATCCTCCTCCTTTCACCACCCGGTGCTATGGTAACACGCGTGTGCCACTACGCCTGGCTTCTGTGGTGCTGGAGACAGCAGCGAGAGCTTCTGAAGGCTACGCAAGCCCCTGCCAAGTGCTACACAGCCCCAGGCAGTGAGCCCTGGCTTTGCCATCTGTAAAGTCTGTGATCCCAACTGCTCCTTCTAGCCAGGCCTGTGTCTATGATCCCAGGAGTCTGGTGCCCACGTTGTTAGATAAAGACCTAAAATGTCAGTGACCTCAGTCTGTCCCAACCCTACTTTCATCCAATAACAGTGTCCCCTGGATTCCCGGAACACAGCTGGGCCCATTTCTAATACCTGATGTCCTAAGGCCTGCCCCTCCTCCACTCCCCCAAGGAAGGGGGCCTTTGCCTCTTCCCCATTTTTCTGTTGAGTCACCCAGGCCTCCCCAGGAGGTCTAGGCCTGCCTGCCTGAATGCCAAGGCCATTTCCCACCCAAGCACTGCACCCACAGTGCTAAGTGAGCAGGGAGGACTGCACCCTTTACCTCCAAGTCTCCTTTGGTGATGGATTCTTCTTCCACTCGGAACTGCAGGTCCTCCACCTTCCTGTGGGCAGAAAAAGAGGCAGAGGTGGGCTTTGGCAGCCAAGGATATGGTCAGTGGTAGAGCACCTGCCTAGAATCCCCCAGTGAGGGGCTGGGATGTGGCTCAGTGGTAGAGCATTTGCTTAACACATGGGAGGTCCCTCGTTCTATCCACAGCCCCACCCCTTTCTCTCTCTCTCTCTCTCTCTCTCTCACACACACACACACACACACACACACACACACGGATGTACAAAGGCAAATGGATGTGCACCAGGCTGGCTATGAAGACGGAGGCATCAGGAGATCTCAGGGACCAAGCTTAAACTTCAAAAGGGTCTGTTCTCACATAGCCAGAAACTACCTAGAATCCTGTAGTTGAGGAGGAGCAGAACCTTCTGGAAGCCTCCTTCCTCTCAGGATGTCCATGGGAAATAGAGGACAATAGTCTGAGCCAGGTGTAGTGGTCAAGGCAGGAGGGCTGGGAGCTGGAGGCTAGCCTGAGCTACACAGTGACACGCTGTCTTAAGCACCACGCGAGGACAGTGGCATCCAGTGGGCATCCTGTGCCCCGTGGCCCTATCTCAGCAAAGAGGATGAGGGAGGCCGGGGGCTTCCTGTTTGCTAACTCCACTCTCATCCTTAAAGTTGAGAGCTGAGGTCCCGGCATGCATTTCCTGGGCTGCTCACTGATGCAGACGTTCCCCGGGACTCCACCCCAGGAGCAGGGGGTCCCTTCAGAACACACGCTCACCCAGACACACGCCAAACACGCATAGGACTGCGACACAGCACTATCCCACACTGCCATTTCTAATGGCACTTGCTGACAGCTGGCAGTATACCTGTAAAGCAACTGAGGTCATAAAGCAATACTACAAGATGCTGGGACCTGTGTGTGTGTGTGTGTGTGTGTGTGTGTGTGTGTGTGTGTGTGTGTGTGTGTGTGTGAAGAGGCAGGTCACAGTTTGATGTGTGTGTGTGTGTGTGTGTGTGTGTGTGTGTGTACATAAGCCCAGAAGCCAGAAGAGGACACGGGGTGTCCTGCTGACCCTCTGCCTGATTCACTTGACACAGGCTCTCTCACTGAACCTGAAGGTAGACTGGCAGCCAGAAAGCCCCAACGATCCTCGAGGCTCTGTCCCATCCGCCCGATGCCAGGGTTACAGGCATATGTGGCCATACCCAGCTTTACATGGGTGCTGGGGATTTGAACTCAGGTCCTCATGTTTGTGATGAAAGCACACCCTCCACCTTCTTACTGTTGTTGTGGGCTCTTATCGCTGTTGCTTTTGTTTTTCTGAGACACGTTCTCACTATGTAGCCCTGCATAGCCTGGAACTCTCTATGTAGACTAGGCTGGCCTTGAACTCACAGAGATCTACTTGCCTCTGCCTCCCCAAGGTGCCTGGCCCACCTTCTGAAGCAGGGTCTCTAAATGAACCTGGGAGCTCTGGGGGTCTGCAGGTCTTTTCTTTGTACAGTCGATGCAGGGGTTAGGGACGTGTGTAACCATGTCTGTCTTACAGCTTGGGATCTGAACTCAGGCCCTTTCTGCAGCAGGCACTTTCCCAACTGAGCCATCTGCCAGCCCCCACCTCGTGGTGCTTTAAAAGACTGTTTTTTTGTTGTTTTTGTTTTCTGGCATGAGATGCATCACCATGGGAACCAGATGTGTGGGCCCAGACTACCATCTCACACGGATATAAATAAACCCTCATTTCCCTCCAGTGAGACAGTAACTGCAGGACTCGGCTGAATGCCCAAAACAGATGCAAATGGGGGTGTCAAGACTGGAGGCTGCTGCCAGCACCGGGAAGGAAGGGCCACACAGACACTGTCATCTTTAGGGAAGGAGGTGACAGGATGAGCCCTGTATCCCAGCAGGAGGCCCAGGATAACACAGGCCCTGTGTCTCTGGTTGGGGCGGATGGACAGATGCCCGTATCTTTCCACGGGTCTGTGAGTCTGCATCAGAGTGCTCCTGTCCCTGACCTTGGTTAAGGGCTTTTTCTAGGGGGCAGTCTCAAAAATTGAGTTAAGGACCAGCAAGATGGCTCAGTGAGTAAAGGTGCTTGCCGCAAAGCCTGACAGCCTGAGTTTGATTCCCCAGGACTCACACAGTGAAAGGAACTGATGCCCACAGGATGTTTTTGGATGTACACACACACACACACACACACACACACACACACACATTTTTTTTTTCCCGAGACAGGATTTCCCTGTATAGCCCTGGCTGTCCTAGAACTCACTCTGTAGACCAGGCTGGCCTTGAACTCTCAAGAGATCTGCCTGTCTCTGCCTCCATAGTGCTGGGTTTAAAGGCGTGCGCCACCACCACCTGGCTTTAAGTATCTTTTAAAAAGAACCCAAGGCCACAATTCCTGCCTAGGGATTAAACTGAGTCACATATGCAGGCTCAACAGGCACCCTCTCACTGGGTTCCAGTTCCAGCTTCTTCTTCAGAGGGACTTAGATCTAACATCTTGCTGTGTAGCTCCAGCTGGCACAAAATGTGGTATATATAGCCCAGGCTATCCTCAAACTGTCAGCAATCCTCCTGCCTCAGTCTCCTTAGTGCTGGGCTTATAAATATGAGCCACTGTACCTGGTCCAAGCCCTTGCTATAGAAAAAAATTGCATATATACACACACTATATATACATATATACATACATACATACATACATACATACATACATACATAAATCCTCTCTTTCTGAGACAGGGTCTTATGTAGCCCAGGCTGGTCCCAAATCCGCTATGCAGCTGATCAGGAGCCTGGACTCCCGCTCTCCCTTCTATCCTCTGAATGTTAAGATTCCAGCACACAGCACCACCCCGTTTGTGTCGTGCTGGAACTCAAACTCAGGACTTTATGTGTACTAGGCAAACACTCTACCACCGAGCTCCATGCCCAAGCACACCGTTTTGTTTGTTTTTTATCTGAAGGCTGCTGTGCTAGGTTGCCCAGGTAACCCAGGCTAGGCTGAACTATTGATTTACCTGCTTCAGCTTCTAAGTGCTAGGATTGCAGACAGACAGCTCTACACTGCCACGCCCGGCTCCCCCCTCCCCTCCCGCTTCCCACTCCTTCACTGGGCTCTGAAACGACACGCCCTGGCCCAGCAGGCACCCGGCACGCACCTCCTCTCCTCCTCCAGCTGATTGGATAGGTCCACTTTCTCCTTCCTCACGCTCTCCACCAGCAACCGTGCCCGCTGCAGCTTCTCCTCAGCTTCTGCAACATACTGGCCCAGAGCGAGGCCAGGACACGGTCAAGTAAACTGCAGCCTTCTGGTGGGGACAGGACAAGTGCAGGAGACGAGCCTCCTGCTCCCTGCTGGCACTGGTCAGGCAGGGACAGTGAGCCAGACATGAAGAGAGGAGACCCAGCAGGGAAAGGAGCAGAGGCCCCAAGGGGTGTGCGTGCGTGCCTGCACATGTGTGTGTGTGTGGGGCCCAAGGGGTGTGTGTGTGTGCGTGCATGCATGCGTGTGTGTGTGTGTGTGTGTGCGTGCGTGCATGCGTGCGTGCGTGCACATGTGTGGGGGGGAAGGAGCAGAGGCCCCAAGGGGTGTGTGTGCGTGCGTGCGTGCGTGTGTCTGTGTGTGTGTGCGTGCATGTGTGTGATATGCAGGGGATTGGACTGAAGGCCTGTACACACGAGAGAAGTGATCTGAGCTACCTGTGCCTCAACCCGGCTACCTCAACTGTCATTGAAGGGGGAGAAAGAAAAATGGCGCATCGGGAACAGGTGCCAAGTCTCACGACCAGAGTTCAATCCATGTCGTCCACACGATGGACGGAGGGTCCGGATGCCCCCAAGTTGTCCTCTGATTGTCACACGCACACCATGGCACACATAATCTTCTCTCACAAAATACATAAAATGTACCAAAAAGCTTTTAGAAAAAGCGAAAAACTGGTCAGCCAGTGGCGGCTCACGCCTTTAATCCCACCAGTCAGGAGGCAAAGGCGGGCGGATCTCTGAGTTCAGGGTCAACTTGGTCTACAGATCGAGTTCCAATACAGTTAGGGCTATACAGAGAAACTCTGTTTTGAAAAACAAAAACAACACAAAGAGAGGAACTCCGCCAGGTATGGTGGTTCACACCTGTAATCCCAGTGCTTGGGGGGAGGAGGCAGGAATGCAAGAGTTTGAGGCTAGTCTGGGTGAGCTCCAGGCTAGCCTGGGCTACAGAGGGAGACTCTTGCCTAAAACAACGACAAACCCAGAAAAGCAAGTCTCCTCTGACCTAGAAAACGCTGGTGCTGGAGAACTAAAAGCAGGAAGCACAGGTTTCAAGGCTGGTTCTGCACTTGATCACGGTCCTGTCCTATCTTGGAGGGAAGGAAGCCTGTTAAAATGCAGGATGTCCTGAAGGGAAGTAAAACAGGTCCATCTCATAGAAAAAAAAGCCTGTGAAAACTCAGCAAATAAACAACTCGACAGCTTCAGGAAGTCCCTGAAACTGACAAAACTTGCCACGGCCCTTCCCCTTAAGCGTACGCAAGCAGGGAAAGCTCTCAGACAAGACAAGCTGCCCGTTACGAGGCCCAAACCAACGGAGCTCACTGGCAGAGACACTTTGCACGCTGCTGAGCCGGCTATAGGCTGTGCTCCAGGCTTCCAGCTTGAGTGGCCACCTGTAGCTTCTCCAGCCCTCTGGGAAGAGGTGATCCGCGCGCCCCGGCACCTGCCGGCCACCCACCTGCTCATGCTGTGTCTTCAGCAGGGCGATCTCCTTCTCCACCTCGCAGATGTGGCTGGTGGCCTTGGCCACCTCGGCCCTCTCCAAGTCACGCTCAGCCAGCAGCTGCTCGATGTGCTGCTGTTTCTCCTTCAGGGCTTCCTGCAGCGCTGTGGTGCCTGAGATCTTGCGTGCGTAGCGTGAAGAGGTCTCTGTGAGCTGGAGAGAGTGGGCACGGCTGGGACTCAGGACACTGGTGACGGTGCAGCCCAGCTTGCTCTCATCGGCCTGGCATAACCTTAACACAGAGTGGGAGGTCTCCTGCTTCTCGCCGGTGCCCTAGGATGCCCTCAACTCACACTAGCCGGTTCAAGGCAGCGTGATGGCTGAGATCCAGATTTCAACAGGGCTACCTCACCTTGGCCAGCTCTACTCTGGACCAAGCTCTACTGACGTCCGCCCACCCAAACCTGAGCGGACTCCCCTTCTCTCCTCACCTAGGGTCCCTGAGACCATCTTTAGGAATTCCTGGCCTGTATCTACCCCACACTGTTTACCCAGGGAACACGACCAGGAAACCAGCCATAACAATAACAAAATGTGTAAGTGGATCAATTTTTTTCCCATGAGGAGATCGCACTCCCCCATCCCCAACGCCAACCAAGGGATGCCCGGGATCAGGGCAAGCTGGGGACGGACTAGGACACCTGATCCTGCCCTCACCCTCAACATCAGAGTTCTCCAACTCCCAATTCCATGCTTACCAGGCCACTACGGCTGGGCCGGCCACCCACAGAGGAGGCCACGGAGCTCACGGAGCTGATGGAGGAGCTGCTGGGGCTGTGGGTCAAGGCCGAGACGCCCATGGCCATGCGTTTGGTCTTCTTGGCCTTGGCGGGACTGGTGGAGGGGGAAGCCGATCCGAATGACCTTGTGGATGGGCGCAAAGAGACCGAACTTGGGTGGGCACTGGAAGTACCTGGGGAGCGTGACAGAGCAACGGTGACGTCATCATTGCTGGGCGTCTCCCCAGCTCCCCACTCCATATCAGAGCCCAAAGACACAGGGGTCTCCTCAGGACCTGTCTCCCACCTCCCACGGTGACAGCCCTCCAGATGGAGCGGCCAGACATAGTGGTGCACACCTGTCACCCCAGCATTTGAGAGGCGGAGGCAGGGGACTGGGGGGGGGGGCGGGACTGCCAAAGGTTTAGAGCTCTGAGCAGCTCTGGAGATAACATTAAAAGCCCACCGTCCACCACACAGAAGCAGCAGCAACATTAAGACGGACAAACCCTCAAGGGTATCCCAGCTGCAACTTCAGTCGGCCCCGCCTCCTAAACCAGCTCTCCGTCCCCGGGGTCCCCTTGCACAGAGAAGAAAAACCCCGGAGGAGAGGCGCCAAGCGGATACGGAGTTCAAGGCCAGCCTCTGCTATATAGTGAACCAGAAGCCAGCTTGTGCCATGCAGGATTGCTTCAGAAAAGGAGGAAGGGAGGATACGAGAGGGCCGGACACCTTTTGCACCACTCAGGAGACACAGAGGCGAGCGAACTCTCACACTCCTGCCTTTCTAGCGTTGTGGCCAGGGGAACAACTCTCACACTCCTGCCTTCCTAGCGTTGTGGCCAGGGGAACACAGGACAGAGGAACTCTCTCAGCACTTGTCTGTGACAATGCCCTCTGGTCTTAGTTCTTTCGTCAATCAAATGGGACGGTCATCTCCCCTGCCTAGCCTGACACGTACCGTCACGGCGTCTGGCACACCATGGCCACGATTCTGCTGCCACCGTACCCTCAGTCCCTCTGACAATGCTCGGGAGAGCCCGTGGTACCTGGTGCCTGCCACAGCCCCATCGTTCTTCCCGAGGGGCTCGTCCAGCTCCACGCCACACCACTCGCCCTTGGCAAAGTCCGTCTCCCCAACGTATCGCACCACACCGGTCTTCGTCCCGCCAACCTGTTGGCACACAGAGAGAGGCAGGTCCAGGGGGTGCAGGGGACACAGGCAGAGCCTGGCAGAGGGCAGATGAGGAAGAGGAGATACCCACGGACAGCTGGGAGGGACACAGCTTCCAGCAGTCACATGGCTGCTACGTGGAAGGGCATAGGCTTGGGGAGAGACACATAGACCTGAGCTCAAATTCTGCTGCAAGCTGCATGAGCTTGGGCAAGTTACAGAACCTCTGTGAAGCTCAGCTTCTTCATCCACCAAAAGAACTTTTGTGAAAATTAAGTACATAGCATCCCCTTATGCTAGAGCCTTGGTAAATACTCTCAGTAAAGACACAAAAGCAGTTTCCAGGGGTGGGGTGGTGGCCCAGCAGTAAGTCCCTGCCTAGAATCCCCCAGTGACAGGCTGGGGTGTGGCTCAGTGGTAGAGCTCCTGCCTAGAATCCCCCAGTGAGGGGCTGGGGGTGTGGCTCAGTGGTAGAGCCCCTGCCTAGAATCCCCCAGTGACGGGCTGGGGTGTGGCTCAGTGGTAGAGCTCCTGCCTAGAATCCCCCAGTGAGGGGCTGGGGGTGTGGCTCAGTGGTAGAGCCCCTGCCTAGAATCCCCCAGTGAGGGGCTGGGGTGTGGCTCAGTGGTAGAGCCCCTGCCTAGAATCCCCCAGTGAGAGGCTAGGGTATGATTCAGTGGTAAAGAGCTTGTCTAGCATGTATGAGGCCCTAGGTTTCATTCCAACACCACAGGAAAATTAAAAGTAGGGCTAGTGAGATGACTCAGCAGGTAAAAACCTTGCAAGACTGATAACCTGAGTTCAATCCCTGGAACCCTCAGTAGACAGAGAAAATTGATTTCCAAAGCAGTGCTCTGACTTCCAGACCCATGCTGTGACACACTAGTGCATGCACACACACACACTCACACACACATTTTAAAACTAAAAAAATCAAAACAAAACAGAAAAAGTATATAGTACTGCCAAAAAAAGTTAATTAAACAAAACAATATACAGACACATAAATTACAGATCTAAGTACTTGCAAAATCAGGTCTGATTTAATTTGCTTTTTTTGCTTTGTTGTTTTGCTGTTGTTTTGTTTTTTTGAGACAGGGTTTCTCTGTATTGTTTTGGAGGCTGTCATGGAACTAGCTCTGTAGACCAGGCTGGCCTGGAACACACAGAGATCCGCCTGCCTCTGCCTCCTGAGTGCTGGGGTTAAAGGTGTGCGCCACCACTGCCTGGCTTCTAACTTCCTTTTTGTTGCTGTGATTAAATACCATAACAGAAGGCAACTGAGGGGAGGAGAGGATTTATTTAGCTCACAATTTCAGGTTACAGCCTAACACCGTGGGGAAGGCAAGGCAGGAAACTAAAACATCACACCCACAAGGGCAAATGCCGGGGCTCTGCTAGCTTACACTCAGGTCTCTCTGTTGTCCCTGTTCGGGGTCTGCTGTCTAGGGAATGGTGCCACCCTCTGTGAGCTGGGTCTTCCCACACCGGTTAACAGTCAAGACCACCCACTTTCCAGACACATCCATATTCCAGTGTGACCTGGATAACTCCTCGTTGGAGACTCCCAACTCGGCCGATTCTAGGTTGTGACAGTTAAAACTAACCAGTACAAAACCAAACCAAACCACTAACCAGTACACCAGGGGTTCTCAACCCTCCTAATGCTGCAGTCCTTTAATAAAGTTTCTCATGTTGTGATAACCCCAACCACAAAATCATTGCCATTGCTACTTCAGAACTGTAATGTTGTGACTGTTATGAATCACAATGTAGACATCTGAATTATGTTGTGACTGTTATGAGTCACAATGTAGACATCTGAGTTCTGTGGTGGTCTTACAAGACCCTGAGAACTGCTGCAGCCCACCTTTCCAAGTCCAGAAGCTTTTCTCCTCCCCCCCCAAGATAAACACCATTTCCTCTTTCAGTGGAAGAGTTCCATAATCATGCCCATCTCTCTAAATAGCAGGCTTCTGCTGCAACTTCTCTTTTTAAAGCTTTCATGTATTTTTAACTGACACATAAGAATAGTTTGCATTTCAGCGATCCTCATTTTTTTTAGACTGACAATGGCTGTACTTACAAACGGGGGACAATATGACTGCTTGTACGGTGTCCATATGTCTACAACGTGCACTGTTCAAACTATCGTTTCTACTCCCCGACATTTTCATCTTTTTTATTTTTAAATAGGGAGTCTCTGAAGACCCCTCCAGTGTTCATCATCACATTAAAGGGTGCTGGGGATGCAGCTCAGCTGGTAGATTACTCAGCTAGCATGGAGGCTGTGCTGGATGTGCACTTTTGTAATCCCAGCCCTCAGGAGGTGGAGACAGGAGGATCAGGAGTTCAAGGCCAGGCTTAGATACACAGCAGGCTAGTGGTATCATTCCAAATGTGTGTGTGTGTGTGTGCGCTATCATGAGTAACTGCCATCTACTCTGCCTGGAAAACAAGAACTGTTCCTCATATTTGTGTTATTTTCACTGGACTTTAGTTTCATTTTATCTCATTATTTATTTCACATGAACTTCAGTTCCATTTATTTTGCTGAAAATGTCAGGGTCCCAGTGTGTGTGTGTGTGTGTGTGTGTGTGTGTTAAATATCCTCTTTGCATGTATGTGTTCATGTGAATATGTACATGTGCATCCGGGTCAGAGGTCAACATCAGATGCTTCCCCCATCACTCTCCACCTTAGTGGGTGAGGCAGGGTCTCCCACAGAGCCTGGAGCTGACAGGTTTAGCTAGGTTACAGGTCAGCAAGCCCCAGGGAGCCTCCTGTCTCACCTGTCCAGATGTGGGTTACAAGCAGGCACTCCCACAGTCCAAACTTTCCACCTTGGTTCTGGGGTTAAATTTAGGTCCTTGTACTCACAGTGCTAACTAAGTGAGTGAAGGCCGCAGCCCTCTGTCGTTCAGACAGGGCTTGTTCTATGGCCCAGGCTAGACTGATACTCTGTAGCCTAGGTTGGCCGTCCATCCATCCTCCAGCCTCTCTCCCTAGAACGCTGGGATTACAGACATGCCTCACCACGCCTAACTTCTCTTAATCTTCTAACATGGCTGGGCAGTTTCCTGTTTCAGTAACCATATTTTTCACACACGCACCCCCCCCAGCCTTTTTGCCCCAGGAATATTCATGAACACATGAATATTCATGAACACATGAATATTCATAAACACATTTGTTCCCACAGGAATATCTAGTGATATGAGTATTCATGGCCCTATATTCAGTGGTCGTCTGAAGTGCCAACTCCAACTTCTCAGATGACTGACCATCTTCCCCACGGAAAGTCCTGGAAGCCTCTGCCATGGAGACTGCCATATCGGTTGCCAGCCTCAGGAGGGTGAAGTAGGAGGAGGCTGGAGGGAAGCGGGCCTTGGACCACAGAACAGAAGCGCTCATCTTGTCCTCCAGTCTAAGGCTCTCTTAAAACCCTGATCCTACTGCCACCCCAAGTACTGAGACTTGGTGCGTGCTGGCATGCCGTTTTATGGGGTCCTGGGGATCTAACCCTGGGATCTGTGCTTGCCAGACAGAGCCCTGGACCAACTGAGCGACTGCCCAAGTCAGAGATTTTTTTTTTTTTTTTTTTTTTTTTTTGGTTTTTCGAGAAAGGGTTTCTCTGTATTTGGAGGCTGTCTGGGAACTAGTTCTGTAGACCAGGCTGGCCTGGAACTCACAGAGATCCGCCTGCCTCTGCCTCTGTCTGGACCGTGTTCAAGTTCCCTTCGAGTCCCTTCTCTGCTCAGCCCCTGGGGTCCAGCTTATCCATGAGGGGGTGCGGCCAGGAACCACGCACACTTACCAGCACGCGGTCTCCCAGATGGAGGTCCTTGTCACCACGCTTCACAGAACCGCTGTCGGAGAGGTTGGAGCCAGACTCATTGCCCGTCTTCACGGAGCTGTTAAGGACACTCTCCCGCAGGGGGATGACTCGGCTGGTGAGTGGGGGCGTGGCGGTACCGGAATGCAGGGATAGGTTCTGCGCAGTGAGGGATTCCACCGAGTGGGCGTCACTGCCCGAGCCCTCAGCTGTGGGCTGGCGGGTTAGCTTGGAGGGCCGTGTGAAGATGCCCTGGAGAGCCGGGCACTCAAAGTAGCGCACGCCACCCACGGCGCCATCGTTCTTGCCCACCGGGTCGTCCAAGACCACGCCGGCCCACTGGCCTGGTGCGAACTGTGTCTCGCCCAGGTACTGCACCACGCCGGGTTTCACACCGTTCACCCACACCCTTTCGCCCACCACAAAGTCCCCCAGGAAGTCATCACCCACTTCAGCTGCCCTTGGACCTGGCTTCTCAGAGACAGCGGTGGTGGCTCCAGCCGCGGAGGGGCCCGATGCCTGCTTGTGCAGGGGAGACCCTGTGGATGAGTTAAGAGGCGGAAGTTAGGCTTGGCCTGGGCACCGGGGGACAGAGCTGGACAGTGGGTAACTCAAAGCCCTTCCTAACTCTTCTGACTCCCACCCAGGGGTGTCCAATGTCTGAGGTTCTCAGGGACACACTGCCATCTACAAGGTCCACCCCGGAAGGGTTGGGAGTGTGGCTGGCAGGGTAGAGCACTTGCAATGAGGCCTGGGTTCCATCCTCAGGACCTCAAAGAACAACAAACAAGTCAAAACACGAGTTGGACTGGTAAGACTGCTCAGTGGGAAAGAGTTTGTCACCGCGCCTGACGACTTGCATTCAATCCCCGGGACCCACACGCTGGAAAGAACTTCTACAAGTTGTCCTTTGACCTCCAGATGTGTGCCAAGGAATGAATGCCACCACTCCCTTCCATAATAAATGAATGCAGAGCAACTCTGTACAGTGTGCTTGGCAGGCCTAAGCAGCTATGGGGCATAACTCTGTGAGGCCTTGAGTGGTGACCATCCCACCTTACCTGTCCTGTTAAAACACAAGAAGGGCTTCTGGGGACCCAGTGTGACTATTCTTAGAAAAAAGCTACCAGCTCAGCTGTCCCTACCCCCAGCTGTCTCAGCCCACAGGACCCCCGGATAATCTCTGCTGACCCCTGCCTCTCCCAGGGGTCACCGGTCCTCCAACCAATTGCTTCAACAGCTGCTACAAATTCAGGTCACAAGTTCGTGATGCCAGCCGTGAGTTTCTTTGATTTATTTTTCCTCTTTTAGCCATCCCCTGCTTGGTCCTCCCAGCTGCCCCTGCCTCACAGGGACCAAACCCTTTTCAAGTTCCGCACAAAGGCAAGCAGGGAGATTTCAACTGCCTGAGGATGGGAGAACACAGGATGCCCCAACATAGCACCCTAGCCTCAGATTTGGAACACACTGGCCAGGCTGGGATAACCCCCTTCCCTAAACTGGTGTCTCAGTTCCCTCCAGACAGACAGACAGACAGACAGCACGCTGTTGGGCTCTGATTTTTATTTTAATTTTTTGAGATGTTTTCATGTAACCCAGACTGGCTTCAAACTGCCTATAAAGCACATGATAGTCTTGATCTTCCTGCCTCCACCTCATGAGTGCTAGGATTTTTAAATTGTATTGTATTTCTTTTATTTAATATTTTATTTATTTGTTGTGTATACAGTCTTCTGCCTGCAGGCCAGCAGAGGGTACCAAATCTCATTCAAGGTGGTTGTGAGCCACCATGTGGTTGCCGGGAATTGAACTCAGGACCTCTGGAAGAACAGTCAGTGCTCTTAACCACTGAGCCATGTCTCCAGCCCATGAGTGCTAGGATTACAGATGTGTACTATACCACCATGCTGATTTATGGGATGCAGAGGGTGGAGCCCAGGGCTTCCAGCAACTGGACCACATCCCCAAGGCCTTTCTGTTGTTTTGTTTTTAGAGTCAAACTACATAGCCTCGGCTGGCCTTGAGTTCACCATGCAGGGAAATCTAGCCTTCCATTTACAGCAATCCACCTGCCCTATCTTCTTCAAGATTTTAAGCATGAGGTCACCAAGTCTATTGGCACTGACAATCTATGCCAGGGCAGGTGGTGTATGTAGTGAGAGCTCTTACGATCTGTCACATAGGCCAGGTGGTGGCGGCGTATGCCTTTGATCCCAGCACACAGGAGGATCTCTGAGTTCCAGGACAGCCAGGGCTACACAGAGAAACCCTGTCTTAGGGGGAAAAATACCCCATAAAACCAAAACCCAAAACAATACATTTAGCACATGGGTGGTTCTCTTAACCCATATCCTCACAGAATCACCTAAGGGTGCAGCCTACACCTAATGCTGCCTCCAAGGTCCCCACCATTGCACACAGTAGCCCAGTAACCCCATGAAGGCTGAAGACCAGTCACATCTGGAAGTGCACATCTGTCATTCCAGAACTGGGAGGCTGAAGCAGGAGAACTTCGGAAGCTAGCCTGAGCTACTGACAGAGTTCAAGGTTAGACCAGGCAATTTAGTGAGATCCTCAGCCAGGTGTCAGTGGGCAGGGACTCCCTTCACGAGAAAGGCATGATAGAATTTATTTTGAGTGGCTGGGTGTGGTGGCCCAGCACTTCAGAGGTACAGGATGAAGGATCAAAAGCTAAGGGTCACCCCAGCTATACACAGAGCTTGAAGCCAGCCTGCCTGAGCTACATGAGAACATGTCTCAAATTTTGTTGTTGCCGTAGTTATTGCAGGTTTCAAGTTCAAACTAAACCCAGTGTGGTTTAGTCTTTAATCCAGAACACAGGAGGCAGGTGGGTTTCTAACAATTTTATTTAGGGCCAGCTGGGTTTACACACTGAGTTTCAGGCTAATCAGAACTACATAGTGAGACCCTGTCTCAAAAAAGTTCCAAGTAGAGCTTCGAGGCAAAGGATTAAGGCTAATGTGAGGAGGAAAACAGCTGGGAGTCTGCTTCAACAGCAGGTGTAGGGCTCAGTGTGGGGGCCCAGATGGCACTGTCCCCTACATAAAGGGGATTCGAGACTTGCCTTGTCTTGGACAGAGGACAAGTTTTTTTCCTCTCTCTCTCTCTCTCTCTCTCTCTCTGTGTCTCTCTCTCTCTCTCTCTCTCTCTCTCTCTCTCTCTCTCTCTCTCTCTCTCTCTCTCTGTGTCTCTCTCTCTCTCTCTCTCTCTCTCTCTGTGTCCTCTCTCTCTCTCTCTCTCTCTCTCTCTCTCTCTCTCTCTCTCTCTCTCTCTCTCTCTGTGTGTGCATGTGCTGGAGCATGTAGTCCACACACGCATGTATCATGTGTGTGCAGGAGCCAGCAGAGGCCAGAAGAGGGTGTGAAATCTCTGGAGCTACACGTACAGGCAGCGGCTGCAGCTGCCAGCTATAGGTGCTGGGACCTGAGCTCTGGAAAAGCATCGAGTGAAGCAGGGAGCCATCTCCAGCCCCTTACCTTGTTCCCTTACCTTGTTCTGAGACAGACCCCTCACTGGGCTTCCAAGTATTGCTCACCCACCCCACGCACACACACACACCATGCTGGGGTTGCAGTTCATGTGCGTCTCCCTCCTTGACTGGCTTTCTTAATCGTCTCCTACCCTAAGCTAGCCTGGAATTTGCTATGGAGGGAAAGATGACTTTGAACTTCTGATCTTTTTCTGTCTCTACCTCTGAAACGCTGTGATTACAGACATGTACCCCCATGCCCCGTTTATGTGACGTGAGGTATGAAATCCACAGCTTCCTACATGCTTGACCAACAGAGACCCATCCCAGCCCCGTCCCACCCCCATCTGGGTTTTGTTGTTGTTTTTAACATAGGTTTTAGGGCTTGAACTCAGGTCCTTATTCTTGCAAGGCAAGCCTTTATGGTCTGAACAATCTGCCTAACCCCAACGGGGCTTTTCCTTACCTGCCAACACTCAGCCAGGGGGAACTCCAGCTCAATGAGCAATACTATAGGCTAACCCTGAGGTCACAAGGAGGCCCACAGGGGAGGACAAACGAGAACCAGCAAGGATGGGGGAGGGGCGGGCCAGCTGAGCATAATGAAGGAGGGAGGGAGCAATAGCTCTGGGGTTGCCAGAGGGAAGGGACGCCCATAATCTTCTGCCTCAGGAAGTTCCTGGGCTCCCGAGAACCTTGGAGAAGAAACCTTCCCTGTCTGTTCTGTCAAAAGGCCAGCTCAAGGTTCAGTGGGTAAAGGTGCCGATGCCAAGACCAACTGACATTTGATCTCGGGACCAAAATGGTGGAGGGGGAGGGACTGACCCATCCAAGTTGTCCTTTGACCTCCCTCCGTAAACACACAGACACACACACACACAGACACACACACACACACACACACACACACACACAGAGAAATGCGTATCTTACTTAAGGTGCTGGAGAGATGGCTCAGAGGTTAAGAGCACCTACTGCTCTTGCAGAGCAGCCAAGTTGGGTTCCCAGCCCCCAGGCTGTGTGGGGCTCACAACTGCCCCCTAACTCCAGCTCCAGACGCCCTCTGCTGGAATCCATGGATACCCGCACTCACGTGCACATACCCCACACACAATATACACAGAACAGACACAAGTGAATGAAAATATTTTTAAAACATGTAATATTATTTTTAAAAAAATAAATAGAGAGCACAGCCCTCACCTCCCACATTCTAACTCTGCTTCATTCATGGAGTGAACTCTCTTCTGAAGGGGGCTTTACTGGGCTCAGACTTTGGCTCCATGGGTACAGTGCACACATGAAGCCCACGTCCAACACCACAGGAACTTGGTGTGACGGCCCATGAATGTTACCACAGCACTTTGGAAGTAAAAGCAGGAGGGTCAGGAGTTCAAGGTCATCTCTGATTATATGTAGTGAGTTCAAGGCCAGCCTGGGCTACAAGAGACCTATGTTTGTAAAACCACAAAAAAAAAAGGAAAGAAAAAACAACAACAACAAAAAAAAACCCCACATATACACAAAGATAAAAGAAAAAAATCTGGGAGCTGGCATAGTGGTTATGTGCTTGCTCTACAAGCCCAAAGACCTAGAGTCTGGATCCCAGCACCACCATAAATACTAAGTGGCCCCATGCCATTCCAGCCTAGAAGGAGGAGACAGAGCAACCTGGTGGGGGGTGGCTGTGAGAATAGCCATATCAATGAGCTGGGAGTTTGATTGGGAGACCCTGCCTCAGAAAATAAGGTAAAGCTACATGAAGAAGAATCCCACAGTAGCCCCAGGCCTACACAGGCACACCCACACATGCAGACACACCTCAACATGCATGTGCACACAGGCCTTACTAGGAACTATAAACTCGGGGACGAACTTGGCTTTTGCCCTGATGGCCTTGGATGGAAGAAAAGTATCTCATGCTAGGTCATGGGCCTTCTAGAAGGCGGCCACCGCTCTAAATGTTCCATGGGACACAGTTCTAGTAACAGGATGCTATGAACTGGGATAATAAAATTAACTTCTAAGCTGAAATAAGAAACACCTTAC